CTGACTTTTGGGTCCAGGAGTTTGACCCCGCAGCCTTACACACTCTGGGGAACTTAGGGAATCATCTAGGATCTATGATGGACCAGGACAAGGTACAAGTGGATGCCATTTGCTCTTTATTTTTACTCATTATTTTCTTATACAGAAAGACAAAAGTTAACAGCTAAACTCAATGGTTGTAAAAAGGGAGCCAGAGAGCATGCACGAGAAAGATCAGGTCAGAAGCAAGTTGGTTTGTTGCTCCCAGGCTCCATTTGAAACCCCAACATGTGACTGAATGTACAGATGTCCCAGCTGACATCGGTCAACAATGAAAACAAGCACAGCTTCTAATTGTACCAAAATTAATCCATTTCACAGCAATCATTTCTATAAGCTCAGTTGCACATATCAGGGTTGCCACTGTCACAAATTCACAATGACAGAGTGAAATAGCAGGTGGATTCAGGCCTGGGAAAGTGGCATCAGTGAGGCAAGACAGCTTGGGAGGCAAAAAGCAGCTGGAGGGTTGGTCCCAATTCTAGATATCAGTCTTAATGCTTGCTAGGGGCTGGAGAAGGGCAGGCACGTTCAGCGGTCAGATAGCAGTATAGTGAAACACTGTCGAGGCATTGAGCTGAGGGGGTATGCTGTTTGCAGATCTTTGTCGGAGAAATTCTTGCTAGAGAGAGATTTGCCTCCCACAGCCTGGAAAGGGGAAGCTCCAAAGTTTGAAGACTTGGGGGTGAATGAGTGCAACATCTGCTTTACAGAAGACTTTGAAAAGCACGTACTGGTGTTAAAACTGCAGTCAAGATCACAGACTATGTTATTCACAGGCTAAATACAGACACGGAGTGAAAGGCTGCAATATCTAACATCCCACAATGGAGAGAGAACAAGGGATCACCCTGCACAGAAAGAGCCTTACGCACAAAAACTGCTAAACTCTAAGCTGAAGGCACAATGAAGAAATCTTTGATACCTCGAGCTTTTCCTTTGAAAGGGGTACCTATTTTAAACCGAATTCCTTTCACAAAGAAGGCCCTGAAGACTGACTGAAGGGAAGACACTTTCAAATATTTTTCTGTAGCAAGAATAGCAGTTACTGGGAATTATCTCCAATTTGGATTTCCTCTAAGTTCTGAATTAGTGGGCTCAAATTAATGGGCTTTTACTGTAGTGGGAAGCAGTCTGATTACAGCAGTCTAAAATTAGCTAATTATACTGATTAGTATTAGGAGACTTCAGTGCAGAAGATGTGGCTGTTTCAGAACCGGTGACGCCTGGGAATGGAGCTTCAGTACTTGACAAGCTGAAAAGCAGCCCAGCCCAACAACTCAGGCTTTACTGTGAGCAAACACACAGTGAGAGCACACACGCACTCTTCTAAAAAGACACAGTCCTGGGGACTCATACCCTCTCTCTGCCATTAACTCTCACTTGAATTAAAAGACAATCTAGTGGCAATGTTGGCTTTTTTTTCTTGGTTTTCTCATGGGATGCCATTTGGTTGTCAAAGGATCCATCAACTCTGGCTAGGATCTGTGGAGTTGCCATCCACTGGGAGAGTGGAAGCATCTGGCTGGAACTGCTTGAACAGAAAACACTGCTGTCCCTAATCCCTAATGTTTGGACTACCAAAAAGACAATGTCCAAACAATTGGGCAGACGCTTGTTCACTGGAGCACCCTAAGGAATTCACACTAATGGCAGTGGAATTGGCAACTAGCAGAGGGGGCCTCCATTTCCTAGGTCCAGCTGCTTGTGATCACACCTCTGTGATCAGCTAGGGCGCAACACAGCTGTGCAGGGGTATGCACATGCCAGGCACCTGTGCGCCCCACTCTTTCTTTTGTGCTTTCATTTTGAAAACCCAAAGTGATGGGCCATCTGGGAGGGGACTGACAGGGTTGCCATTCGTTTTAAAAAAAGTCTTACAAAGGGTTTGGTTGAAAACAGGTGATAGTCATATTTTAAGGAAAATTTTAAAGCCTTTTCATTTTTAGTGAAAAATATCTAAGTAACTAACCCCACCATTCTGAAAGTCAGTAGTGTCACACACACACACACACACACACACACACACACAGAGAGAGAGAGAGAGAGAGAGAGAGAGAGAGAGAGAAGTTCTCAGATTTCCTTCAGCTGCTGACACCTACAGAGCAGGAGCTGAGGAAGGGGACACCATGCCAAAAGGTTGGAGGGGATCCAACAGAGTACAGGCCCCACAAAATGAAGACAGTCTTCCCTTCAGAACAGATCCCTCCTGGGACAAATAGAACCACAAACCAGCTATCATTTGATAGAAGCAATGAGAGAAGACAACATGCCCACATGTACACACACACACACACACAAGCATACACAAGTCTCAAACAAACAAAACTGTGGCTACTGAAGTGTGAGCATTGTATCAAATCAATGTCTATACAAAGACAGAGTTTGAAAAGATATGTACAGGGCATTCGCAAAAGCCAAGTGTGCACCTTGAGGAATTATGCCCATTATATATCTAAACACTATGCTGCGAAAAACCATTGCAGAGGCTTGGCACAAGTCACCTGGAAGAGCTCTGTGAAGCACCTGACCCAGAGTCCACAGGCCACATGCAAGGAGCTGCTTCTCACTCACTCACTCACTCACTCACTCACTCACTCAGTCAGTCAGTCACTCACTCACCCTGCATCCAGTCCTCAGCTCCCAAGGGCTGCATATCGCTCTCAAAAGGCCTTAGGAGTCAGTTTCCTGCTCTTACTCAAGCATCCCTAGCCTCTAGCTGCCAGGCAGCTCAACCACGCCAAAGGCAGTGGGCATTCGTTGACATATTCTGTGGCTCTGGTCACTATGCCTGACTCTCTGCCAGCTGGGGGAGGAGTCACATTGGGGTAAGTTTGTCTTCATATATCCCAGGTCACAATCAGGCACCAGATTAATAAAATGCAGAGGTTGGGCTGATCCAGAGCTTCCAGCTTCCCCAGGATCTCCATCATGTCTGGATGAGACTGAGCCCAGTCTCCATCACGGAAAAAAGCAGGGGACTTCTGAGCCCCAAATCCCTTCATTAGGAAGGGCCAGAGTGCAATACTAGATGACCAATGGAGAGAAAGATTAAAAAGAAAAATTAATGGAAAGAAAAGGGAAGAAGAGAAACATGAAGGAAAGAAAGCAGGAAGGGAGGGAGGGGAAAAGATCAAAATGAAGGGACAGAGGGAAGAATGCCATTTGGTCATTTCTGGTGTCAGGAAACTCTGGGGAGAAAGGAAGGCCCACGTAGAGTAAAATGGAAAGAGATTGACTCCTCAGGTTGACACTCAACATCAGAGGCATTTGAAGACCTTGCCTAAAACCAGTCCCTTACAACTACTACCTATTTCTAGAAGAATCTTGCTAAGGGTAAACTTCACTGGTTCCAAGAGGCTTCAAGCTCTTCACAATGCATTAGCTCCATCAGCCTCCAATGGGCCTGTGAGGTAGGGGAGCCACAGGGTGGAGTTATCCAAGCTGGCAACCTCACTGGGGTAAGAACACAAGCTCGACTAGAAACAAACCCCCGGGAAAGTCCCCTGTACTGGAACAGCCTGTAGAAGTCATCTGGGGCCTCAAGGTAGGGCTGCACTCAAGGAATGTGTCTCAGTGTCTGCCTCGAAGGGCTGCTTAGACAGAAGGAAGCTTGTCAACTCTGTGGGCTGGAAACCATTGCCATTACCAACAGACCCACGCTATGCACTGTTTTTGGGCCCCACACAAAATGTGCTACATTTTTAAAGCACCACAGAGGAAAAATGATTTGGCACAGACACCAGGAGAATAGAGCTGGGGCGGGTAGAGATGGTATCAACAAAGTCTTTTACCTCATCCTTGATTAAAGAACAAGTCACCTCTGCCCAACATCTTCCCAAGCCTCATTGAAAGCAGATCAGCACCTTGCCATGGCAGAGCAAACCCCAGGTGGACTTTAGACTCCAGGTCACGGGCTCCCACACTAAGAAAATTTTTAAGAGACACTTCAGGAGCTTCTCCCTGTACGGGCACCATCATTAGGAGAATTCACAATCTAAAGTTCAAGTTCAATGCACCTATTTACAAAAAAGAAAGTATCCTAAAACTGGAAAGCCAGACAGCACAGTGCCAAGGAGGTGGTGCTCATGGTTTGAACTATACTATGGGTTTATCAATCTCACAAAGGAGGAATCTTGAGCTCTCTGTGCCAGTCTGGAACGGCCAGGGAGAGGCCCTGGGATCCATGAGAGAAGAGGACATCAGTTTTCCCCACAACAGAGTTCTCCAAGGCTACATGTGGGCTTGTGCCAGTGGGGACTGATTTTAGCACAGCTGGTACACATCACAAACAAGATGGCAGAGTTGAAGTGGGCCCCTTGGTTGGTCTGGAATAAGGAGCTCTGCCACCCAGCCCCTTTCCCTCCTCCTTCCCATCCCCTGTCCTCCTACCAGGTTGATCTATACATAGACTTCACCCTGGTCAGGAGCATAAGGGTGGGTGTTGGAGGAAGGCTGTGCCAAGGTCTGTCTAATTGATTCCTTTTGGAGGGCTTCAAATGGTCCAGGTTATATTATTTTCATTTATGGTTCACTTGTTATTATTTGTGTTTTGTTCCTAGATCAATCTTTGTTTCTGTCCTCATAATATAAATAAGAACAGTAGGCATGGAACTGTGGAGAAAGGGGAAATCACAGGGCTAGCTAGCTTGACTGCCTCATCTCTGTGGCCTAGGTCCTCAGATACACAGGGGTTCCTAGACAGCCCCATAGCCACCGGATGAGCCTGTGGACATTCTGGTCACAATCAACACCATGAGATGTTTCCTTTGGCATAAGAGATGCCAGTCCCTAAAGATAGGGCAGGACATTGGGGACTTGGCAGTGGTGGGGTGGGGTCTGGAAGACCCGGGCGTTCAGGTATGTAGCTTTTCCCAGGTGGATCATACACTTGTCCTATGGCCCCCCACCCCGAGACACACACACACACACACACACACACACACACACACACACACACCAACTGTCTCTACCAACTGACTTCCTACAAATCCATGGTTGGGGAATTATTTGGCAACAAGGAGGCTAAGGCTGTTTTGTGGTGGCACAGTCTTTCAGAAGTCCAAAAAGAAGCAGGATACCTCTGGAAGAGGCTTTTATACAAGCCAGGGCCCATGCTCAGCTACTTATCTGCACTGGGGCTGGCTGCCACAATCTCTTCATACTTTGGGGGAGGGTCACTGTAAGAGACACTGGCATCCTCACTGCTGCCCTCCTGTGGTGCAGTCACCTCCTCATAGGAGGGGGGAGGGGTAGCGCTGGACAGTCTGGAGAGAGAGAGCTCAGGGAGGTAGAGGGTGCTCTCCAGTCGGACAGTGGTTCTACTTCCCCGGCTGGGCCCCAAGACTATCTGTGGATTATTCCCTGCCTCTCGGTGCCCAGAGGACTCTCCCTGGCTATGCATAGTGCCCCTGTATACCATGACTCGGGGGAGGTTGTGCCCGGCACGACTGGCTAGGTACCGGTTCTGAGCATAGGAGGGGTGGTGACGAGTTGCTTTCTGCAGCTGGCACCTCCAGATGATGAACAAGGCAATGACAATCAGCAAGACTACCCCCAGAAGGGGCACCACCACATACATGGCGTCTGAGCTCTGCGAGGGATCTCGGACTGAGTAGACCGCATTCGGGTATCCCTTCCAAAACTCCATCTGCAAAGGAAGAAGGGCCATTCACTCCTGAGGAAGACAGACACAACAAGGAATTGCTCACCTAACAACATTCATGCCTGGGACATCTGAGACCTCCAGCAAATCATGTACTAAGGACAGGGTTGTGGTTCCTTCTCCACCCTAAGTCATCTTACTGGCCTAAGAGAGCTCCCAGAGAGTCTGGGGAATTCACTGAGGATGAAAGGCAAAGTACCCAGATGAGGAAGTTCACACAAATAAAGCAACAAACCTAGAGTGACACCCCAATGCTGCTTTGGGGGCTCCAACAAGTAGGATGTAGCCTGGGTGGTGTTCTTCCCTTGTTTTAGACCAGTTCCTATTATTCCCAAGATTGCACCTCCTCCCAGAACCCAGCAGCAGGGTAGTACGTGCCGTTTTCTCTTTGTTCTCAAATACTTCCTTGACCTCTTCATAGCTGCAGATCTCTTCCATGCACTCCCGCTCAATGGTGCCTTGACGCAGCTCCTCCAGGAACTCATTGGCACGAGGGAACCGTTTCAGGACTGCATGGGCATTCTTGGCTTCCAGAAACACTGAAGGGAGAACCACAGTGAAGCAATTCAGTCCCTGCAAACCAGACTGCCCAATTATGAAGGGAAATAGAACAATTCCAGCAGACCTAAAGCCAGGCCTCCAAGCAAAGGCCAGGCCTGACCTATTGCAATGAAGATAGGAGGGCTGACTTCCTACGCTGCTGTGATGCTGTACTCTGCAGCAGGACCTCAGGGTCCCAACAGGGCCCAGATCCATTGCCATACCAAGGAAAATGAGACACGATGGAGAAGAAACTTCAGGTGGCACAGGAAAAAGGACCAGACTATGTATCTTAGTCTTGGGTAAGAAAACATCTAGTAGCTTCTGCATCTGTCTGGAAGATGGAAAGACAGACAGAGCCCTTATCATGAGCACTGGTTCCTCTTCCAGGCTGCCACTGGTCGGAGTAAAATCAGGCAAGAGCTGTGGCTTTGGGGACAAAAGCAATGACCAGTGGCGAGACTGTTTACTCCTCACATGAGGTGGTACCCCTCTATGCCCAAGTTGACAGGTCTGGCCTGCAGGCTCTCTCCCCCAAGATCCACAAACTGTTGTATTAGTATAATTCAGAGTGACTCAAGGAGAGAAAAACTGAAAAGATGGATATGTTGTTTTGCATGAGCCTGTCCAACTCAGATGGTTTCACAAATACTCACCAGCCATGATGCTCCCTCAGCTCCAGCAACTTACTTGCCTGGCACAGAAGAAAAGAAAGTTGAGGTGAAATCCTCTGGGGTCTAGAATGTGATCTCCCACCAACCTGACTAAAAAGTCAAAACAGCATCCCATGAGGCATAATACCCTCGTTCAGTCAGTCAATTCCTGCTGTTTCTTCTGTCCTTGAAGAGCTCCAGAATTCCCCCAAACCAAGCAGAGGCTTGTTCTCTCGCTTGTTCTCTCTTCCTTCCTTCCTTCCTCCCCCCCCCTCTCTCTCTCTCTCTCTCTCTCTCTCTCTCTCTCTCTCTCTCTCACACACACACACACACACACACAGCCTTCTGTGAGTCTCAAAGACCTAGGGGTTAACTTTTTTTCAAATGGAAAGCATTTCTGGGCTAACACTCCTTATTGCTCAGTGCCTTCAATGAATCTTTGTCCCTTTATAGAATAGAAAAGACCCCAGAGAGAGCTGAGAAATCAAGTACAGAGATGGGGTTAGGTAGAAGCAAGGTTAAGCAAATTGACAGAGACAAGACCTGGAATTGAATTTCATGGTGAAGATGAACATGTTCCTTAAATCCCAAACTTAATGCATCAGCAACACCCATCTCAAATGTTGCAGCCTAGCTGATGCTGGCCTACAGTAATCTGTGGATACCTGTTGTACAGGGTCAGATCTTCCATATACAACACAGACATATTCGTACAAGCTCTGGCCCAAACCTTTGGGCCCAAACGCAGAGAATCTTCTCAGCCCATCTTTCCCAGAAAGAGAAGCAAGGTAAGATGTTCGGACTTCTCTGGAGCCAGGCACATCTTTTCTCTTTGCATTAAAGACTACTGCAACACAGAACCTTGGTAAACACATATTTAAAAGATCAGCATGAAGACAGAGGTCTGGAGATATAGCTCCTTAATACAACAATGTCTAAGGTTTGATCTTCAAGACCACAACAAACAATCAAATAAATACAGTACAATAAATCTGTGATGGTAACTTGGAGGAGAGACCTCTATATAGAAGCACTGTCATAATGCCTTTCTCTATTAACACAGTCCTACTTGTACACATATGGAACACTGCCTAAGCCATTAACATCTGGGAGCAATTACCCATCAGCTCTCTTCCCCAAGCAGAAGCTCATGTTTTATGACTAATGGGATGTAAGGCACATGAGCTTTGTAACCCATTATGCTACCCTTTTTGCTTAGCCTGCCAGGAAGTTCAGTGTTAACACTGATGGCCAGATACAAGTGCTCTGAAAGCCCAGCTATTGCACACATATGCTTTTCTCCCCACAACTTGGTATGGTCTTCTATTTATTCTTCCAGAGTAGTATTCTTATTGTGTATTTAAAATATAGCCTCCAGTCTGTTTGGAAAACAAAAAGGATAAGAATCATGAATAAATTTTGAATGCTGGGGAAAGTAACCAATCTAAGAGCACATCGAATAGTACTATCACTGTGTCGTGGGTTTTCTCTTTTGAACTCATGGCAAACTACCCAGTGATCATTACTTCACTGGAATACCTCAATTTTCACAATGACAAAGCCTGGCCTCTTTATGATCCATGAGATCCATATGATGAGGATGTAGAGAGAATTGGATTAGGAAACAGGGTGTTTTGGTTAAAGAAAAATAAAGCTGCCACATCACAGTTTGAAAAGAATGAATAAGCAAAGCTTTCGCTAATAATAAAGCAAATACATCCCATTGCTTACTGAAGTGAACTGTAGAGTTTTCAAAAAATTTTACATGGAAAAAATTATATAATAGCTTTACGTACAGCCATCTTTGGACCCAACCAAACACATGGACTTCCGTGCACTCATACACATATACATCATAGCCCCAAGTTTGTGTTTTCCTGGCCTGGAAAAGCCATTAGTTCATTTCTGAGCCTCAAAGAAGCCAGGATCTCTTCCAGACAGTTCACATGGCATCGCCTCCTACCCCATTAGCAATTCTGTAGCCACCATCACTGCTGCTGCTACTGCTGCAGCTTCCATGACGGCTTCCCCCATCCCTCCCCAAAATGTAGCGCCTGCTTCTTCCCCTATAAATACACTAATAGGCAGTTACTATGGCAACAGTGAGGAAGCATGAGGGCTCCATGACCGAGAATGCAGCTGCAGTCACGCATGTATATGTCCCTCCAGCCCCTGGTGAATACTGTAAGCTGACTGTAGGCTGAAGGAATTTTTAACCCATTCCCCACGGGAACACAGCTGAATCCTGACATTCTAGAAAGGAAGGAAGGCAGGGAACTGGCCACCACAGAGACCTTCCTTAACCCCACCCCAGGCTGAGGCCTCTGAATCTCAGCTCTCTGGGTCACAGCTCCCAAAGTACCTCCCACAGGGACTAGTGGCCCGCTTGAGTACCTGGTGTCCCCATACCTGTGGCCTCCCAAAACACTTCTCCAAATTCTAGCTCCTATGATTTCCAATGCTCAGAACTACTCGCCAGGAAAGGGTTCTGTGATTTCCAAATCTCGTGATTCATAAATCCACCCAGTGACACGGCAACTCCCAAACTGAGCTCAAACTCAAACTCTGGGGTCTCTTGCCCCCTTCCACTCATGCCGGCCCTGAAAGTGCCTGGCTTCACCCACCTTCACAGGCCACCAGCGCCCCAGTAAAGAACTACTGCCTCTAGCCCAGCAATACTGTTCTGCGGGGATCCATCCAAGACCCCAAACACCTTGGCCTGCCTGACCTCCAGATCCTCCCTCCCTAATAGTACCAGGCGCCCAGCTCAGTGGTCCTGAACACCGAACCATGCCCTCGGGGTTGGGGTCGTCCAACCAAATGGCCTCACCGTTCTCCAGGCCCAGGAGGCGGCCGCCCTGTTTGAGCATGCAGCCCGCCACCTCTCTGCTGAGCCTCTTCAAGCAGGGCCCCTGTCCCCGCCCACCTGCTCCCGCCGGCAAAGCCCCTGGCCCATCCCAGCGGTCCCCTCTCTTAGTCCCTCTCTGTCCCGCTTCCCTCCCACCGCCCCTGGCGCCCCATTGCTGGACAGTCCCTGGCCAAAGAGCGCCTGAAGCCCCCGCCCCACACAGCCAGGCGTGCAGGCCTTGCCCATTACCTCGGCACCCCCCCTGTCTGTCCCTGCTTTCCTCTGGGGGCTCCGTCGGACCCTCCCCCTGCACCCTGCCGAGCCATCTCTGGCCTCGCGCCCCGCGCCTGGCGTGCCACCCTCTAGAGCCTTGCCCCAGTAGCCAGGCCGCGATCGTCGCCCTGCACCGCGCACCAGGCCTCCGGGCCAGGAGAGGAAGAAGGGGTGGGGCCAGCTGAAGCAGCCGAGGGCTTAGGTGGGGAAGGCCAGCAAGCCGGGCCGAGGGGCGGTGGCGCGCACCCAGCACCGCGCACCCGCGCCCGCGCCCAACTCCGCCGGCACCGCCCCTGCCCGCGCCAGTGCTGCTGGGGGGGCGGGGTCTGACCGGCGGGCCTGGGGACTCTCTAAGGACCCTCGGACACCTCCTTGGCCCAGTGGTGAGTTAGGGCGCAAGTCCTGCAAAGACCGGACTCTGCAGTTGCTGCCCTCAAGGCCAGCGTTTCGGGCACTTTGGAGCGCTATGGTCCGAGCTGCCTCCTGGGCCCCACCCAGACTCACCTGCCATTCCAGCCAGCCTGGCCCTGGTGCCTGCGGTGAAGAGAGGGGCCCGTGACAGCAGGCCTAGGCAGCCTTGTGAGGCTCCTTGGGTCCGCAGAGAATGGGCTCTGGCCCCGCTCCTTCTGCCAATGACTGAGTGACCTTGGTTCCCTCACTTACGTCCCCACCCTGCCTGGAAATGGCTTTTCTCTTGTGAAATCTGAGAAATGGGGAGAATCCTGCTTTCCTCACAATTCTGTCTGCAGCTAAGAGGGGAATATGGGCTCCTAAAAAGGAGGAGAAAGAATGGAAGTTGCGATCTTATGAGCCTGCAAGGAGTGTTGGGCAGAGTATACACCTCGGTCTGTATTATGGAAGGTTCACCTGGCTGAACAAAGCCCTGGTAGCAGAAATGGCATTATTCTAGGAATTGAGGTTGACCCACAGAATGAGACGAGATGGTTAAAGTCTGTGTCTTGGAAAGCCTAGGAGGAGCCCAGTGTGCCTTACTGGGTTAATAGAGAGAGCACAGCCCTGCATTTGATGGGAACGAGCCAGAGTAATGCCAAAATGACGATACAAGGGATGGGAAGAGATCGCAGAGCCCCCACTGCTCCAGCTTCCAGGACTGGTTCTTTGTGTCCCTGGCCCTGCACCTTCTCTCTTCTCTGACCCACCCACATTGTTCCCCACCTGCCTTCTAAACTCAGAGTCACCCCTCTTCCTTTCCTTAGCTTCTGGAGTGTCCCTTGCCCATGGCAGAGCCTCTGTAACCTTTACTCCATGGAAGGCTGGGAGAGCCATGCCCATGGGAAGGATGCACGGAGAAAAAAAGATATCCTGGGGATGGGAATGCCCTTGGTTGATGCAAACAACTGTGTTCAGATGCTCTGGCTAGATAGTGAAAGAGCTGGATGGAGTCATGGTCAGTAGGTGAAGGCGTATTTGACTGGTATGCTTAAATAAACAGACCAGCTCAAAACAACAAATATAATTTAGTAATAATTGAAAAACGGGGAAACTCACGCGACCGGAGTAAAAGTTCTGATGTCCAAACGGGTCATGCGAACACCAAGTGCAGAGAGGGAGCGCACCTGGATCTCCAGGTTTTCTTCCCTGGGGACCAGGTTGCCATACCCAAGCAAAATGTGATTGGCTGAGCTTCCCCATCATCTCCCCCTTTTGTCTAAACAAGATCTAACCAAATTCAATACAACTATATACAATAGGAACAGATACCAAATATAAAATTACAAGCAATAAACAATATTAAGCAAGAAACACATAACAAAAGTTTTACTGAGCATTCTATTTCAAGGAGTCTAAATAATGTATTGAAATTGAGTTTAGCTAAATCATGAGGAGGGTAACTACAATTATCTAATCTTCAACTCTTTCCAAGATCTGAGAAAGGAAGTAATATTACTTGAGTAAACAGGAAGTACAATTGAGAAACTTCCAAAATGTGCAACAAATGACAGAGACAACTAGCTACCTGGGCAATCACCCAAAGTCTCGTTTGCAGCATTGAGGTAACCAACTTTGGCTAAGGCCTGACGTAACTGACATACCATTTTCAAAGGCAAGAAACATCAGAACTATCTTACCCTGTTTTGGCAGGATATGACAGTCCTGTTTTATCCATTTACAGATACTCTGTATCACTGTCAGCGGTCAAGATATGGGCATTTCTTTGCCCAAAGGCCAGTTCGGCCAAGAAGAAAGGCTCCAGGTGGAGTGTCTTTGGTGCTCAACATTCTCTCGGTAGTAGTGTGATGTTGCCAAGAGTGATTGTGTCTCACTACCACGGAACTCTAGGTTAGATTAAAGGTCATTTTCTACAGCTCTTTGAAGATGTTGAAGATTATACTATCTATACTGAGTATAATCTCCATGTATCTAAAGAACCTGATTAGCCTAAATATAAATATGACAAACCTATATGACTATTGATTTATAATTCTCAATACCTATCTAACTTAAAGACTAAGACAATAAACAACTGTGCAATAAATGGGGACAATGACCTCCAAATGTAAACAATGTATATCAATACATAAACAATATATAAGTATCTTAATCAGAGGTAGAAATGTACACTGCAATATGGTAAATATATATCAATACAATATATATATATATATCAATACATAAAAATGTTTTAAACAGAGGTAGAAGCATACTCACATACAATATTCAATATAATTTAAATTTGCATCAATATACAAGAATCAATACCAATATAATTGTCTAAAAACAATAACTCACAAATACCAATCAATTATCCCATCACCAATTATCCCTCTTTTTTATTATTCTGTCCCATATCAAGTAGGGAAAATGACCAAGGAGGTTTAACAGTTAACCTTAGTCTCCTAGCCCATCAGCATGCTCCTGACCTCATTTCAACCACAGGGCCTTGGGAACACAACTCCAAAGAAGGCGTGAGAGTGGAGCGTACCTATGTACACAAAAAGCATCTATGGCAACCACTGTCCTCCCAGGACCTTCACTGGAGCTTCTTGCTCCAGCAACAGAAGCCTGCTTTTAATTCATTCCCCCCTCAGAATGCCTTTCTTCCTACCATCCATCAGGACACTTAGTTCATTCTGCCCACATAATACCATTGAGATTTGCACTGTGAGGTCTCACAAGGCCTTCCACCCTCTCCCACACTGACCAGTACATTCTCATCATTGTCTACAAGGACTAGAACCATGGGGCCTCTGTGCACGGCAGAGGAAAAGGAGGACAAGTGGGACCTCAAGAGCAGGGCACTACTCCACCTCTTGGCAGGACCACATATTGCTCTATGATCTTCAGCAAGTGAGTTGGCATCCCTGTGTCTCAGTTTGCTTATCTGCCAAATAGGAATGAAGCTAGCAGTGCCTGCTTCAAAGGGTTTCTCAGAGGGTCACCGAGTTGAACAGTTCACTTAGGGTCATGTTTCAGTCCACATTATTGGCATCCAGCACAGAGGCTCTTCCACAATAGGTGTTTACTAGATCCTTGTAGATCAGAAATGGTGAGCTAAACTCAGGATTTGTTATAAAATCACCACCATGAAGTTGGACCTGCTTCCTCTTTCTGTAAAACTTGGCCACCCTCTCCTTCCTTGTCCCTCAATATTACCAATTCCATCACCTCCTTTCCCCAATTTTTCTCTCCCTTACCCCTCCTTTCATTTCTTACTGTGCCTATTTGCAGCTACAGAAATTATTTTCTTGATACCCATTCATCAAAATTGAACCCTTCTCTGAGTCTTCCTGACCCTCCTCTCCAAGCCAAAGCACTGATCTTAACTCCTTAAAAGACTCACATTTTCTCTGCATATTCTTCACCCTCTACACACTATTCACTGAGTAGATTGTAGTCTTAAATGTCCCCCTCCCCAGTTCTTCAATGGTAGCCCTCACCTCGCTACTTCAGACTGTGGACTGTATTTGGAGATGAGGTCTTTAATGAGGGAGCTGAGGTAAAATGAGATATTTAGGGTGGGCACTAGTGCAGTATAAGTGGAATCCTTATTACAAGGGGTGGGCTAAGACACAATCACACACAGAGGGAAGAAGACTGCCATCTACAAGTCAAGGAGAGAGAGCTCAAGGAATCACCCTTGCCAACATCTTGAGCTTCAACTTCCTTCTTTGAAAACTGCAAGACAATCTATTTTTCTGTTCAAGTCACTGTACTCTGGGGCTTTCCTCTGCTATAACAAGGTCATATATCCTGTATTGTTCAGTGAGGCTATATGCCAGCTTCTATTCCAGGACCTAGGAATCGAGATGACAATGAGCCGAACAAAACTACTACCGGGCAGTGGTGGCGCACGCCTTTAATCCCAGCACTCGGGAGGCAGAGGCAGGCGGATCTCTGTGAGTTCGAGACCAGCCTGGTCTACAAGAGCTAGTTCCAGGACAGGCTCCAAAACCACAGAGAAACCCTGTCTCGAAAAACCAAAAAAAAAAAAAAAAAAAAAAAAAACTACTACCTAGTGGACATTAGACAAGGCCTCCCCAGGAAGTCAAAGATGTAACATAGAGAGTGGTGACTGGCTCTGTGAAGAAAAGCAAAGCCCAGGAAGGTGCTCAGGGAGGGCTCTGCAGAGACCATGCCCTTCTTGTCAAAACCTGAAGGACGGGAGGAAATAGCTTGTTCTGGACGGACAGATTTACCAGTAGAAGCACCCCAAAGGCAGAATTTCATGCAGTATTTTCTAGGGTAGGCCGAGGATCATGCAAGCCCTCCCAGGCCATCAGCAGGGACTTTGTTAGACAAAATGGTGTGGAAAGGAACTGAGGGCGCAATCAAGAAGTACCATAATCAGCTGGGCGGTGGTGGCGCACACCTTTAATCCCAGCACTCGGGAGGCAGAGGCAGGCGGATCTCTGTGAGTTCGAGACCAGCCTGGTCTACAAGAGCTAGTTCCAGGACAGGCTCCAAAACCACAGAGAAACCCTGTCTCAAAAAAAAAAAGAAGAAGAAGAAGTACCGTAATCTTTTCTGTTTTCATGTAAACTACCAGACTGACTTCCTTGTGGAAATGGTTGTCACAGAAAGAAGCTACAGCACTTTTGGGTGACTGCTTGAAAAAATGAAGGAGAAGGAGGATAGCAACTTGTACCAAACAGGGGGAAGGAAAGCAAATTCTGGATGGAGTTTGATAGGAGATACATGAATATTAGATGGCAGCATGGAATTTAGTGAAGACCTACAAACAAGAGTTTTGTCAAAGAAACAGGAATGATGGGAGTACTTTAACTGGGGTGCAGAAGACAGGGTGGAGATGGTTACATTAACGAGTCCAGTGTGCTTTATCTGGGGTACAGAAGCCAGTGTGAGAGGGTTATATTGAGGAGTCTGTAGTTCTGAGTCACAATCTGGACTGGAGATGGGAATATAAGAATGTCATCTAGTTAGTAATAAGCCACACATGCCCTCAGCAAGATTCTTTACAATGAGAAAGAAAAGCACCTTCAGAATTAAGCCCTGAACAATCCTGTATTTCAAGGTGAATAGAGGACAAATGCAAGAGACAGAAAAAAAGGATGTGTTGGCAAGAGACAAACCCACCAGAATATGTAGGAAGCTGACCAACAGTAGCATGAATACTGACGTGGAAGCACCTGTAAACCCAGCACTCCCTTGGGAGATTAAT